TTCTGTTCCTTTTATTGTGCGAAGCCCCTTACGCCTAAATAATTCTATACTCCGTTTCAATAAGAGAATAACCTCTGGATATCAATCATGAATCTTTATCCCTAGGATGAAAAGTAGAAAGTGAAATTTTAACCATTGAAGTTAATGGAGAAATTTTTTACTTTTCACTTTTCATCCTATGAAAAAAGCAGCCCTTAATTCCTGAACGCAGCCCAGAGAGAGAAAGGCTGTTGTCAAAGGCCAGTATTCATAGTCAGTTCTTATTTTAAGACAAAATTTCTGTAACAGTAACCTTAAGATGTGAACTTAAGCCGATGAGCCAATCAGGATACTGATTTAAATCTATGTACTCTAACGGAAATAGAAATAGCAATATCCATAAGGCTAATTTCAACCGGTTGAAATTCACCTTATTGCAAAGTTATGGATAAATTTACTATTATTTCCATTTCCGTTAGATTACGTAGACCTAAAGCAATATTCTGATTGGCTCATCGGCTTAAGTTTACGGTTTTAGAGCCGGTTTATAATAGGTACCGTAATTCGATTTCTATAATCATAGTGGCAGTAAAAATATATTCACACAAACTTGTATAGCCGCATAAACATATGCATAAAGAAAATTATCCAATTCTATTTTTTCTATAAAGACGCACGTAAAATGTGATTAGATAATTTTCTTTATGCATACGTTTATGCGGCTATGCAAATTTGTGTAGATATATCTTAAAGTGCACACAAAATTCCACAATAGTGACCATAAATCCATATTTTTTATTAAATTTAAAATTTATTTATATTGGGTGCATTCAGTACTACTACCGCTCACTGAGCGCTCAGTAAGCTCTTGCATTTGATTGGCATATTCCGTTAGAACTAAAAATATAGACCAAACAGATATAAGAACTCACTGAAAGTGCGGTTACAGTACTGAATGCACCCATTGTTAACGACTTTCAGGTTATGACTATATCGGCATAAGTTCACGTTTTAGAGAGCGTTTTTTTGGCCGTAATTGTATGCCGTAATCTGTAAAAGTTGACCAATTACCTTCGAGTATTCCCTTTTTACTGCCGAATAAATACTTGACTGTAATTAGTTAATTCTAGAGTCTCTAAGAGAGTCGCATTAATCTTGTCAAAATTTTCATTGGCTTGAAGTAAAATGGCGAAACCAATCATCGATGCTATTATATCCCCATTTTGAGTATTGTGAACGCGGTGATTTAGATTTTAGAAATTGTAAGAGTAGAATTTACATTAAATTATATAATATTGACAAGTAAAATTAATATTAAAATATTTTCTATAACTATAAGTAAATACAATTTTTTAAAATAAATACAAAAGTGTATTTGTTACTATACCGTTTCGCTTTTCCGCGGAAATTGTGCTCCATATATTAGGGGATCAAAACAAGCGGAACTCATGGAAACGCGGAAATATAAAGTTTAATTAATTTTGTCTTTCGCGTTTCAGCATTTCCGCTTCATAATAGCACTCTAATGTCTAATTCACACTGGACGCAGCAAGCGTCAAGCAGCGGAGCAGCAACTAACCAGAGAGGATTATTTACGTCATTGTAAATATCGCTTCACTGATTGGTTGCTGCTCCGCTGCTTGACTATTACGAGGTTGTGGATAAGTTTATTTCCATTTCCGTTAGATTACATAGACCTAAAGCAATATTGACCTGATTGGCTCATCGACTTAAGTTTACACCTTACGCATACAGTTACGGAATTTTGTGTGCGGCAGCCCTAGCGCAGTAAATATGATGCACATTAAAATATTACATATTTATATTATATTAGATACAAAATCAAATTAAAAAATATGATTTCTATGTGTGTTTTATGTAAAACTAGCACTAGAACACAGATGTATCAACTCATTCGTAAAGTAAAATTAACGTTTACAGTTATGTGCAGCATACAAAAAGTGAGGTTAGATCAATAATTATTGTTACATTTATATTACTTATAAACGTGATGAATAGTTATATAGTATCTTATAATTTTTTTAAAGAATTTTGAGAGGCATTTTTTTTAATGCTTCAGGGCTCCTGATTATATAATTCACTGTTATCCAAACATTGTTCTACGTCTTTCTAGGTCTGTCAAGATGATTTCGATGTTATGCTTTGTCCAGTACTATATGTCGATGATCCGTTCTTATATTCAAGACTGTCTTAAGTACGGTCTTAAGATATCCTCTAGATTCATAGTCGAAAAATAAGACGGTACTTGAGTAAAATTTTAAGTTAAAACTTATCAAAGACGATCTTATTTCGAAACGTCCTGAACGGTCTTGACATAATTCATAAATACATCTTGTTCAAAATAAGCATAAGACTTAAGACTATCTTCATAGGCTGCGGTCGATTTGGACGCTTTCAGGGCTTTTCAGTACTCCTATTCTTATTTTACATTTAAAGGTATAATTTCATGGTGTCGCTTGTCGCAATGATAAATGATCATGTGACTGAATTCTTCCTCAATTTTTCCACTGTCTTGTTGCCAGCGATACTGTTGAAAAGTTAGATTAATTTAACTTTTAGCGACATCGCTTGTATGCAAAGATTTAAATGTGGAACAGCAGGATGTAAGCATAATAAGGGTATTTATTTAAGTTATATTTCAAAACATCCTTTCCGAGGAAAATTTTACTCGAAATATACATGTATATAAGATATGTAACGTATACTATAATATTTCGAGTTAAATTTTTCTCGGAGAGGACGTTTTGGAATGTAGCCTTAGAATATGGATGTCATCGCAAAACTTGATAAAAATATACTCATTCGCTACGTTTCTATTCGAAATAAAAGAATTAAGTAGAAAAATGTAAAAGTCTGTTTATAAAGCGATTATTTAGGTTAAAAAAAACGAGTTTTCTTTATTTGAATAGTTATTATTATATATAAAGCTGCGTGATGTAAACGTCACCGTAAGGTGACCGAGTGTAAGGTAGCCGAGTGTAGCCGAGTGTAGATAGTTCCGAATGTAGCCTAACTCTTAACATTTAATAATTTGCTTCATAAAGCATATCACCACGTTTTTCTGCCAGATTCTTTCATTTTAAAGTTTGAAAACGTGTCGAATAAATATATTTTTATCAAGTTTCTTAGTGATGTATTCTAAATAATTATCACAATAAATAAATAAATAAATACAAATTTCTTATTAATAAAAAATTTTTTTGAACTCGTTCAATATGTTATACCAATCTAATTGTATTAAAATATTATTTAATTATTGTATTATTTGTGATAATTTCTTGATGAAATTTTCAAATGGCTGTTGTATGTACATACTCGTGACATATGTGAAATGATCATAGACGAAAAAAACATTTCGACTCATGGGTGTATGGAAGCATCCCAGGCAACATAAAGTATCCAAAAGAGAGACATAAGATGTCTTTAGCGTCTAAAAGTCGTCTTAAAGACGTCTTATGTCTTAATGTGTTGTCTGGGATATTCGTCAATAATCGATTATTCGTTGATAATTTTTTACTAATTTTTTTTAAATCCATGTTTACAGCATCAAAATTCAAATGAAGGATCAAAATCTCTTTTTTTATATTTTCTTTTTAAATTTGTACGTTCATTAATGCATACAGATGCTATTAATTTATTTTGTCGTAATTTTCCTTTATTTTTGTTGTGCACAATCACATAAACTTGACAGGTCCAATTGTAATACTGTTTTTGATATGACATGTTCGACTTAATTTACAGCACTTTACACAACACAATTAATATAATTATCATCAATAATTTATCGCTGTTAGCCTATTTATATGAGCGACATTCGAGGTTATATGAGCGACGAGCAACATCATGATCACATACCTGAATGAACGATAAAGACAAAATGATGATTACAAGCGCTTTAAGCGTGTGAGCGTCCAAATTGACGGCAGCCTTAATAGTAAGAATTTTACAAATTCATAGTCATTATAAAGTATTTATTATATATATATATAT